TTTTATGCATAATGGGTTTTTGTTATTTAGACTAGGCTACACGCCACTAGCTAGTTTGAATGATGAAAACACTAAGTTGATCCGGTTGGTCACAGCACAACCTTACCTTGGTAAGTATCGACCTTGAGATTTGGATTGAGAAATATCGGTTAGATTCATAACATAAAGTAGGATAATTATGGTGAAATTGGATATAGTAGACAATTTCTCATTAGTTGATCATTTGTTTAGATCTCGTTTTTATCTTAGTTGTTATTTTAGTATTTTTGTTATGCTCACTTGAATTTTAGTTAATTTGGATTTTCTTAATTTGTTGGGTAATTTGATTATCTCACTTGATTTCATTATTTTAGTTGTTTTTGCATAGTATTAGATTAATTGATAGCTCGACTCTATGTGGGATTGACCCTTACTTGTGCACTTTACTGCAACAGCGACCCGTGCACTTGTGAAGGAATTAAAGTTGTTTTTAACCGAACAATTCTAAAACAACAAAACCTCTTGAATTGGTCTCCTCTGGCTTGTGGGGTCCTGCCCTTGTGTGCTCTTCTGAAGGATTTAAATATTACATATTGTTTGTGGATGATTTTAGTAGGTATATGTGGATATATCCTTTGAAGTTTAAGTCTGAAGCATTTAAGGTCTTTACTCATTTTCATTGTTTTTCGAAAAAAAAACAATTAGATGCTAAGCTAAAGAATTTACAAACTGATTGGGGAGGTGAATTTAGATCCTTTACTGGATATCTACAGCAGCATGGTATTGGTTTTAGACATCTTTGTCCCAATCTACATCAACAAAATGGTAGAGTAGAAAGAAGACAAAGGACCATTACAGAGTTTGGTTTAACTTTGTTGGCTTATGCTGGTATGCCTTTGTGTCTATAGTGGCAAGCACTTAACACAGTTGTGTACATTGTCAATAAACTCCCTTCATTTGCTCTTGAAGAAGTATCACCTTATCAGACATTGTATAAAAAGGCACCTGAGTATGGTGAGCTGAAGGTTTTTGGCTGTTGCTATTACCCTTTTATAAGACCTTGCCAAAAACACAAATTGTCTTATCACATAAAGCAATGTGTTTTCATATGTTACAGCTTAGCACACAAAGGATACAAATGACTCTCTTTTACAAGGAAAATCTATATTGTTAGACAGGTCAAGCTTAATGAAACAGTTTTCCCTTACAAACTTGGTTTTAACTATTTTATGTTTAAGGATTTGGATAGTGCAGGACTAAATTTATCTTCTAATGTTGAGGGCTCTCATTCCTCCTGGAATCTATCTCATTGTTTGGACTCTCGAATAGAGCAGACTTTGAGGTCTGATGTTGGTATAATGAAGTTTGATGTTGTTATACTATCTGATGCTGGTATAATGAAGTCTAATGCTATTGTACTGAGTTCTTCTCATTCTGCTATTGTGTCACCTACACCTTCTACATTAGGAACAACTACTCATGTTGTTTCCCCTTTAAGGAACTCTGATGAAGCTGTTGTGTCACTTACATCTTCTGAACCTGAAGTTGCACATTCAGGAATCCATTTAGAAGTAGTATTACTTTTTCAACAAGGCAATCTAGCCATAAACCATCATCCCATGATTACCAAACCAAATTCTCGCTCTTAACATCTTATAGGCCATGCTTACATCACTACTCTTTCAATTCATCCAAAACCAAAATCTATTGCAGAGGCCTTAGTAGTTCCATAATGGAAGATAGCCATGAATGAGGAGTTTGAGGCTCTCTTGAGAAACAAGACTTGGGAGTTGGTTCCCTTTACCTCGGATATGAATGTTGTGGGTTTTCAAAACCAAACTGAAATCTGATGGGACTCTACAAAAGTATAAGGCAAGACTAGTAGCCAAGGGGTTTCAACAGACCCCTAGCTTAGACTATTTTGACACATTCTCCCTGGTAACTAAGCTAGCGACCATCAGAATTATGCTTTCACTTGTTGTTCATCACAATTGGGAAATACAACAAATCGACATCAACAATGCATTTCTGAATAAAGAGCTTATAGAAACTGTTTTTATGATGCAACTTGAAGGCTTTGCTAATCAATCTAAATCCAAGCAAGTTTGTAAACTCCATAAGGCTCTTTATGGACTAAAGCAATCCCCAAGGGCCTGGTATGATAAACTAAAGACAACTTTGATTGAAGGGGTTTTCAAAGTAGTATTTCTAACACAAGCTTATTCTTCAAGTAGGGCACTCAAGTGATTTATCTCGTAGTATATGTAGACGACATCCTCGTTACAGGGAATGACTCTACCTTGATTAAGCATATTGTTACAGTTTTGAACAGCAAATTTGCTCTAAAGACTCTAGGTGCTCTTACCTACTTTCTAGGCTTTGAGGTGCATAGGAACAAAGTGGGATTATTACTCACTCAAGCAAAATATGCACAAGACTTAGTAAATAATGTTGGTCTTTCAGAGTGCAAACCTTGTCACACTCCCATGGCCATTGGAACCAAGCTTATGAAAGAGGACAATGATTTCTTTTATCAGCCATCTCTATATAGAAGTCTTGTAGGGGGACTACAATACTTAACATTGTCCACGCCTGACTTAGCCTTTGCTATTAATAGGCTAAGTCAATTCCTTCAATACCCTACTACAAATCAGTGGACTACCTGTAAGAGAGTCCTTTGATAAATTAAAGGGAGGGGACAATCCAACATGGTTTGTTGTTCAAACGAAATCAACATTTCGGATTGGAAGGGTATGCTGATGCAGATTGGGCCAACAATGTGATTGACAAGAGGTCCACAACAGGCTACAGTATATTCCTTAGGGGAAATTTGGTCCAGTGGTGTTCCAGGAAACAAAAGGTTGCTGCTTTATCTTCTACAGAGGCATAGTATAGAGGTCTTAGCCAAGCAGCAACAGAGTTGGTTTGGGCTCAAAACTTGTTTCAAGAACTTGGTATACAACTCAATAACATTCCAATGCTTTGGTGTGATAATCTGAGTGCTAGTGCACTATCATCCAATCATGTGTTCCATGTCAGGACAAAGCACATTGAAATCAATGTGCACTATGCAAGAGAGCTAGTTTTTGACCAAAGGTTATGTGTTCAATATGCGTCCTCTGAATACCAGATTGTTGATGCCTTAACAAAAGTCCTTACTACTCACAGATTTCAAACCCTCCAAGAAAAATTGAATGTGGTCTCTTCCATACTTGAAGAGGAATTTGTCACATCAACAGTAGAGTCGACTAATCCCCAGGACCTATTAAACACCCTACAAACCCAATGTTCTAAGGTAAGTCACAAATGTGATAGGTGGCCCCAAGGTGACTCAAACTCAAAGGCAACAAAAAGAGCAAATCTTCTTGATCGCTAGGTCAACCTCTTATGGCTAAGCCATTGGTAAGGGTGGATCCAGTCCCTTTGAAGGTAGGCCCAGGCGTGGATCCAGCCCCTTTGAAGGTAGGCCCAGGCCTACCCTCATATTTTAAAAAAAAAAAAAAAATACTATTATATGGGCCCACAAAAAAGTGCTATTAATATATATATACCTCAGTATATCCTTAGATTTTTTGAAAATAAGAATTATTATACATATATCCAGACCCACAAAAAACTTGCTATTAATATATATATCTAAGCTTACATCATATTCAAAGTTTAAAGCTCTCTCCACTCTTCTTCTTCATGACTCCATCTTCTTTTTATGATTTTATCCCTAAAATTTATATATATTCTAAGCTCACATCATATTCAAAGTTTAAAGCTCTCTCCACTCTTCTTCTTCATGACTCCACCTGCTCTTTATGATTTTATCCCTAAAATTCTTTACTCTCTCATCCCCTCTTTTTCTTTCTCATGCTATTCGCTCTTAAAACTTTTGAAAACTAAAATTGTTAAAGCTTTCACCACTCAAGGTGCCACAATTAGCTTTGTTTTCTGTTTTACTAGTTTTAAGTATGTGTATTGCTTATTTCAATTTAATTTATTTTAGGGTTAATTTATGCTTTTTTATTTTTTCTTTTTGGGAGGTTTTTTATTATAATTTCAGAGAAAAAGACATAGATCTTATGAGTTTATTTTGTCTTTTGTGTCTAAGAATGTTCCCACTTTCCCAAATTAAAATCTTAACTATATTTGAAATGACGTTATTCTTCACCCTTTACCCACCACTTTCCTACATTTCAAATATCATTATTCAGCTACTCAAAATTATTAAAGAAATTTGAGTTATTATCTATGTTTATACCAAGAAAATTCCCACTTTTTTTCATTAATTCATATTAAAAGTCAATACAACGTTGACTTGATTTAAGTTTTGATTGACTTTAGCTTAGGTTGAGTCTGATCAAAGTCATGAAAATTTATATTATAATCTTTGGAAGTGAAAAATAAAAAATAAAAAAAATTATAAGAAGGTTTTGCTCAAGGTTTCATCAACACATTTACTCAAAATTTTACTTCTAATAGATTAATTTAAATGTGAAAGTATTGTGGTATTGCATTTTTTCTTTTAAGGACTTAATATTATATTATTTTCTTTGCTTAAGGTTGTGTGATTTTTTTAAGTTTTCGCTAATTGTTTGATAAAGAATGACAAAGCCACAAACGTTTCCCTAGGCAAAAATCTTGGGTCCACCACTCGCGTTGGCTTTTCCTCAAGTTAGCAAGGTAACCAAATTATTTAAGTAGAGTTTATTTTGGTTTCATTTTTCTTATAACTTGTATACTTATTGATTTACCCTTATTTCTTATTAAATGTGGCTGCAATTAATAAAAAGTATCCCTAAATTAAATAAAGTTACTATTTACTGTTCCTAAATTGAACAAATTAAAATTGTATCCATTTTTATTTCATAAAAACATTGGACCTAAATTGATAACATACCAAATATTTATTGTATTAAAGCTCTCATTATGTGCCACGTGGCAGCCAAACAAAGAAGATTTAAAAACAAAAAACTCCCGCCAAAAAATGAAATTGAATCTTTCAATTAATGTTTTTCGAAGATACACGAGAGATGCGAATTGACGGCTCGTCGTTTTGGACTCAATTAGCGCAGTTCCTCATTCAATCTGCTCATGTCAGTATCTTCTTCTTCGTTTCATTTTAATGATATTCTTTTTCTTTTTAATTCTTTTTTGTTGATTGCTAATATTTTTCATATACTTAATGATTTGATTTATTTAAATGACTTAATTAAAGCAACTTGAAGTTTCCCCAATCGTCAAATACACCGCTTTGTCTCTCTTTTTTCATCGATTTCACCATTCTCTTTCCAGGTACTGATTTTTACTTCTTTCTATCTTCTCTTCTTATGTTGTTTTTGGATATTGTTTAAATGCTTCCGAATAGTCCAAAGGAGTTTGAACCAATTGTGTTTTGAAGGGTTTTGAATGAAATTGAAAAGAATATTATAAGAACCGAAAATTCCTTTTTAGAGAGCTTTTCTAGAAAGCATTTTTTAATGTTAGAAATCAATTTAGTTGTATTTCTCAGTGTTTGTTAATTATTTTTTTAAATCATGAAATGTGCTTTTTCTGGATGGTGTTTTGGGAGATTGCATTTGGTGCGATTTTGTATGTGTTTTGTAGCATTTGGCTGAAATAAATGGGTTTTTTATTAAAAAAAAAAAAAAGTACTGAAAAAGTATTTTCCCAAAAAAAAAAGTGCTTTTTCTTTTTTTCTTTTTAGGTCAAGAAAGCATTTAAATTTGTTTATATGGTTACTTGAAAAGTAATTTTCCATGAATTCTTTCACTTTTTTCTCTTTGCTTAGTTTAAGAAAGTCTAAATGAAAAATACAAAGCAGTACTTACAAAAATTTACTTAATTTGTTGTGCCCTGGTTTGACTGCATTTTGAAATGTATAGGTACATAGAAATGGGAAAAATACATGGGGACAAGGGCAAGGTAAACTGGCTTTTTCAACCCATGACAGAGAGCAATTTGCAGCTGTTTTCACTTATTTCGTTATGGGTTTCAAGCAAAGTAAGTATTTCATGCGTTACAAGAATGAGTTAGTTTTCTATTAACCCTTAACGTTGTTAACCCACATCCATGATTTGTAGATACATGATTCTCGTCCTCTTTCGGTGAAAACTTACAAGTCTTTGGGAGATAAAACCATTAAAGATCAACACTTTACCACTCGAGATTTCTTGGAAGCAGTAAGATAGTTGTAGTTCTGTTTGAAGCCTTCTAGAATTTTTTTTTTTTTTTTTTTTTTTAACTAAGGATTCTGTCAAGTGCACAGTAGTTAATGAGCATATTTTGCAGGAGATTGTCTTTTTGCAGGTCAGTATTGTGTTATTGTAGCTTCTTGCACCGTTTAGGTCTAATAGAGACAGTGCCTTTCTTAAAGGTTTTGGACTTTGAGATTGGTTCATCAAATATTGCTTTCTTATTCCTTGAAGAGCTCTTGATTCAACTCAAGTAAGGACCTTTCGTGAGTATAAATGATTAAGTATTTTTATTTTTATTTTTAAATTAAGAATAGCTAACCGCTCCTAGTGCTTCTTAATCCATATCATGGATTATTATTTTATTACAGAGAAGTGGCAAAAGTTGGAGAACTTGTGAGCTTTGAAGCGTGCATGGACCTAATGGATCTTCTCTATGAAAAGGAGGAGATGTCAACTCTTTATCGTTCTTCTCGTTCTCTTGCTACAGCTATCTTGGCATGGTCTCAAACTCTAGTAATTTGAATTTATAAAATTTTGTTTTATTTTCTTTTTCATAAGGTATCTCTTCAGGTTGCTGCATATGTCATCTCGGTACCTATACAGAGACGGGAGTTTCCTGTTCTTCACTGGGGTAAATTTCTGTATCTTTTATTGAATACTTTTTCAGTTAATGACTGTATTGAAATCTTTTAGAAATTAATTAATTCGTCCTTTACTCTTCGTTACATATAATTTGGTACTATTGATTTTCCACTTCGAGTGGACTCTGCTGATGGATTATGCCTTCTAAATGAAGTACTTGGGACTATATTTCATAAGCTTGACATTAATTTATTAGCAATAGGTAGTTAAGCTAAAGTACAAAGTGATTTCTCTTGGCTTCTTTTCTTGTTTCTTTTATTAGAAAGATAAGAAACCCAGATACCATCAAAGAAGCCAAGAAATAGTTCCACTGTTGGTAATCCACAAGGGTTCTTGTATCATGGTAGATGTTCCTTGTATTTGGTTGCATGGAATCATCAACTTGCTTTATAAGGTTTGCCTTTCAACACCATTACTTGATAGTTTAAGTTTTTGTACGGCTAAAATTTTCTGAGGTTTCAATAAGGTCTTTTAGGTTTTACATTCCTAACTGTTGTGGATTTTGCCTGAAATCATTACTTATCAAATAAAAATTCACGTCCAATCGATAAATCTATAGAACTCTGTTAGATTGGGTGTTGGAATGATTGTTTTGAAGGCCGCTATGGTTCTACTGGTGCCAGGGTCTATGGTAAGCATGTATTTTCTTTATATCCTTGGAAAATGTACGAGTGCCTACTTGTGGTTTTCATGTATTACTTTTGTTATTCCACCAATGCAGAAAGTTCATTGCCAACTGAAATTGTCAGAATCCATCACTATACTAGAGTGGTGATTAGGTTTTCGCCAAGGCCTCTTCATTAGGGCTTGAAATGTTTTTAATCCCATTTGTTATACTTATACCTAACATTTGACAGGCCCATGTGTTAATTTCTGGGACCAAATTCTTACCTTGTGAAAAGAGAACTAAAGGTTTTTCAGCGTAGGGCTCATCTTTGTTCTTACTGAAGTGAACACTTCGATTAATTTGCATTCTATTTGTTAGCAGTCTTATTCCATAATTTAATACTAACTAAGAGTGATTGATGCTTCCTGCACTCACGGGCTGGGTTGTAGATATTTCTTTTCAATCAGCCCAATCATCTTAATTCATTTCCATCATGGCCATCAAGATTGACTGCTGACCACCGTCCAATTCTGAACATTAATTTTGTGGACCACGGTACAATTAGTACACGAGCTATATTTAATTAGTTCCGAAGCTGATTTGATCAATTTTGAAGATGATGTTCACTACAATTAGAAGGCAACAACTTCTATGTCACGCCTTTCTATATTCTCGCCCAATCTCTGTTTCGGATTCCGCTTGGTAGACTACAGAGAGTTCCATAGAATCCAATTTTATTGGGCCCCGTCTATTTCTCTTTCCAATAGTATTGACCCAGTCTTTTTATCCTTGATCTTAGGTGACAACAAAATCCCAGCATATAATGACTCTGAACTAAGCATATATAGTCATCCCAAGTCAGTGTTAGCAAAAGGGTTTCATAAAGTTACAGCTTCATGGAGAACTTGGAGCTGAAATATCTCTGAATAATGGCCGATAATCACTGGATTAAGTTCTAAAAACATAGAATTTTCCATGACTTCAATAATTTAGAGGAGTTGGTATTCTTTATGTCTTATCAGGGAACTTATCTGACTTATCCAGGCAGATGATTATGCTACTCAAATTACTCTTAATACACAATGATTTGATAGGTAGTTATAGTTTTTGGTTGTTTCTCTTGAGGTATTTATTTTCCCCATTAGATAATAAGACCTTAGAGGATTTGTTGAATAGGAAAACCATACAAATGAATGCTATGGAATAAGGTATTATGGAGTTAAAATGATTAAGGTGGGTGAGGTTAGGAGAGATTCTCCACATACACAGCCTGTCTATTCCAAATTTTGGTCTTTATCCAAAGGGCAGAGACATAATATTTAACTACTTGTGATGAGTATTATCAAATAATTTTAAGGACCCACTTCGACCCACCATTTCTCCATTTTTAGTTATCTTGCTTTCAAGCAAGTTCGATGCTCTTCCTGCACTGCACCAACTCTAGCAGGTTGTTTTGTTTGTTTGGTCCTTCCAGTATTTATTTTTTATTTAGTAATGTGGTATCGTAATGCTCTTGTACTCGCTGAATCATTCTAGCAATTCTTGTTCTTCTCGGTTGTTATGTCTTTATGTATTCCTTCTTCTGACATGCTATAATGCCTCCACCGAACGCTGACACCATTTTCTCTTTCTCTTGCCTAAAATTCCCAATTAACTTGTACTAATATTAGCAGTGATTTTGTTATTTTCTTGATAGTAAAACTTGTACTGCCTAGATATCAGCATCTCAGTCTTTGCTTTCTAGAATATTTTGACCTCACATAATTATTACAATGTTGCAAGAAGACAGGATTAAAATTGTTTCCCTGAAATTTTTTCTGTAACTTTAATGCCAATTTATTATATAATATTCTTATGTCTATCTCTAACTGTATCAAATATGTTGGGCACATGTGTGAAACATTCTAGTGCAAGTTTATTTTTGCCATTAAACATCTTATGATTCGGAAGGATAAACTCTGAATTATGCTTCTGTTTTGAGGTCATAAAATCTGATTTATGTCAGAAACCCAAGAGACAAAGATCTAAGCATATAAATGAAATTGTTATTGTTGGATGCAGTGAAGTTTGTAACAGCATCCAAAGAAGAGGATACTGTTGAACTTGTCCAAGACATTCTTAAGCATGTGTTTGAGCCATGTTGATTCTAAGCTCTTGAAGATAAAGCATCTTTTGGGTAGTTTTTTTTTTTTTTTTCAACTCCACCAAATAGAATAAATTGTTGGTCACTCAATTACTATGTTGCTGAAAAGTTCATTGATTAGCATGATTCAGTTAGTGGTTAAAAAATGTAAAAATTAGGTTAAAATAGGAAAGTGCATATAAAAAACAATGGGACCCTTTTTTTTTTTTTTAAGAAAAAAATTTGAGAAATCACTTTCCAACTCATTAGGATTGTGATCTGATGGCATGTGGGCTCTCCCACACGGCCAGTTGATTTCTTTTGGGAATTTACGTCAACTTTACCACTTCTTTATTGCCTGCCGACCATTTGGATCTTAGAAAAACATTGTTTATAATACGTAGGGTATCAAAGTCTAAACTGAAACTGTTATTATAAATTTGATATTCTTTGTGTTAGTGTTACATCTATAATAGAAAAACTATTTTTAAACCACCGTTGAGTAAAAAAATTTAACATGTGTTCCTAAGTTAAAGTTCACATGAACATTAATAGAAGTGGTTATTAAAGAGATTTATTCAATCATTTACTTTAAAATTTCGGAAGATTAGTTGAGATGTGTAAAAATTGGCTCGGACACTCCATCATCAATAAAAAATATATATTTTTAATAATGTAGATTGAAAATTAACAAAAAAAAAAAAATATTAAAAAAATAATCTGACAATTAAAATAAACCGAATTCTTTGTGTGGGGTTTGAGTTGGAATCACAGTAGAGGGGTAATAAATGTTGGAGTTGTCGACTACTTCAGCATTAATGGGTAACGGAGACGCACTCGGGGGTCCCGCTGCCCGGTCANTTGATTAGCATGATTCAGTTAGTGGTTAAAAAATGCAAAAATTAGGTTAAAATAGGAAAGTGCATATAAAAAACAATGGGACCCTTTTTTTTTTTTTTAAGAAAAAAATTTGAGAAATCACTTTCCAACTCATTAGGATTGTGATCTGATGGCATGTGGGCTCTCCCACACGGCCAGATGATTTCTTTTGGGAATTTACGTCAACTTTACCACTTCTTTATTGCCTGCCGACCATTGTTTTAAAACCCAGACCGGAGGGTAAATCGTTTTGCTGTCTGGGTCACGGTTCAATCGGTCCAACCGGTTGGACCGGTGACGTCAGCAATATTTTATTTTTAAAAAATTATATATTAACCCCTTAAATCTTAATATATTACAAAAATTCCCCTAAAAAAATTCAAATTGGTCTCTAAAATTTTTATTTATTCCAAAAATACCCCAATAAAATTACCAATTAATCCTTAAACTTTTGATATATCTTCAAAATACCCCTATAAAATTACAAAGTAACCCTCATAATTTTAAAATATTTTAAAAACCCCCCTGAGACCTAAACCGGACCGGAGAAGCTACCGGTTCACGGTCCAACCGGTCCGACCGGCCGGTCCGGTCCGGTTTTTAAAACAGAGCTGCCGACCACTGGGATCTTACAAAAACATTGTTTATAATACGAAAGGTATCATAGTCTAAACTGACACTGTTATTATAAATTTGATATTCTGTGTGTTAGAGCATTTATAAAAGAATATTTATATGAATTATAAAAAATCTATAGAGTTTAATAGACTCTTTATTTTTAAAATATAAATTAGAGTGTAAGTTTGACTCTCTATATTTAGAGAGTCAAATTTTACTCTTTATCCTAATTTTAATTAATAAATTACAAGTTTTTATGTATTTTATTTATTAATTCTTTTTCCCATTAAGTCTCTTTCTTAAAAATAAAGAACATCTTCATTAAATTTAAAGAGTCTATTGGATTTGAATAAAAATTGTGTTCTTTATATTTAAAAATCAATGAAGATGTTCTTTATTTTGAAGATATGAATGATGTTTTTCAAAATAAAGGGTATCATTAGAGATGCTCTTAGTATTACATCTATAATAGAAAAACTATTTTTAAACCAACGTTGGATGGTTTGATGGTAAAAGAGTAAAGAAATTTAACATGTGTTCCTAAGTTAAAGTTCACATAGACACTAATAGGGGTGATCACTAAAGAGATTTATCCGATCGTTCACTTTAGGACTTTGGAGGATTAGTTAAGATGTGTAGAAACTGGTTCAGACACTCCGTCATCAATAAAAAAATATTTTTTTAATAATGTAGATTGAATATTAAAAAAAAAAAATCATTAAAAAAATAATCTGACAATTAAAATAAACCGAATTCTTTGGGTGGGTTCTGAGTTGGAATCACAGTAGAGGGGTAATAGAAGCCAAAATAGGGCAACAATGCCTCTTAATAAATAACAGAAAATAGAATAAAAAAAAAAAAAACAAAATAAAAAAAAAAAAAAAATAGAAAAAAAAAAAAAAAAAACAAAATAGAGAAGGTTGGTGGTTTCTTTATTATATCTTAAAACATTAGCTAGATAAGTTTGTGTTTTATGTGTATTAAATTCATGAGTAAAAGATGGGCATGAAATTGATGTTCAAATCTTGTGAATTAAATTAAGCTTTGCTATAAATATTCTCTATAGTTAATGTGCGGATATATCAGTTTGCACTCAAGTTGTTTCTTAATTAACATCTTTATGTTATTGTATTTATGACTTTTATAGTTTAACTACCTATTGATAGCAATTATGATTGAAAATCATTATAGAAATCTCAAATCACAAATCATTTATAAAAATTCAACATTTAGATATGTAAAGGGTACATTCGAAAGTGTTTTTTAATGTTGTCAAAAGCATTGTTTTAAAACCCGGACCGGAGGGCAAACCGTTTTGCTGTCTGGGTCACGGTTCAATCGGTCCAACCGGTTGGACCGGTCGGTTGGACCGGTGACGTCAGCAATATTTTATTTTTAAAAAATTACATATTAACCCCTTAAATCTTAATATATTACAAAAATTCCCCTAAAAAAGTTCAAATTGGTCTTTAAAATTTTTATTTATTCCAAAAATACCCCAATAAAATTACCAATTAATCCTTAAACTTTTGATATATCTTCAAAATACCCTTATAAAATTACAAAGTAACCCTCATAATTTTAAAATATTTCAAAAACCCCCCTGAGACCTAAACCGGACCGGAGAAGCTACCGGTTCACGGTCCAACCGGTCCGACCGGCCGGTCCGGTCCGGTTTTTAAAACAGAGGTCAAAAGCTTATAATAATTATTTTTTTTATCTATTAAATATCCTCAATGAACGAGAGAGGTGTATCATCTTTAATAAAATCGTATCTGTGATATTATCACATATTTATCTTCCTTTTTTCTATCTTTTATAACTGTATAGAATTAATAGTATATAAACAAAAATAGTCTTTTTTAATGTCAACACAAATATACCTAAATTATTGTTTATTATTATCAAATTAACGTTAAAAGATAAAATTAAAATATTTAACACAATTTCTCGTCAAATGTTTTTTTATTTTTTTCGTCAATTAGTGTTATTAAAGAATAATACATGTGTAGATGCAAAAAATCTATTGTCATGAAAATAGGGTCTGATCTCTTGAGGTTGAGGCTACTAACAATCCGTTAGACCTGCACACATGAAATAGCAAGCGTGAAGCTTCCGGAAAACACTGGGGTGGTGTTTACCATAGGCACTCCGACGCTCAAGTCACCAAGGCTGAAAGAGATTATTTGATAAGAATTAAGGAGATGAAGAATTACCAGGAGTTTTGTCGGAAGCTAAGACTACGACGGAGGCGTCGGGTTCTCGAGAGCAAGAACTTTAGGAGCAAATAGATGGTTTTGAGTAGTATAGATTGAGTATGGGAGATTGCATCCCTAATGAGAGGGCAAACCTCTGTTTTTATAGTGAACCCAAGGGGTTAGAATCCTAGTAGAACATTGAGTCCCTTTTTTTGGGAGATAATCCCTATCAAGAAAGAAATATGATTTCTTGACCTTATCAGATTAAGTTTAATAGTTTAAATAAAATTTGGAATCTTAGTAGGACACTAAGTCTTATTTTGGGAGATAATCTCTATCATGAAAGAGATATGATTTCTTAACCTTATCAGATTAAGTTTAATAGTTTAAATAAGATTTAGAATTTTAGTAGGACATTAAGTCCTATTTTGGGAGATAATCCCTATTATGAAAGAGATATGATTTCTTTACCTTATCAGATCAAGTTAAATAGTTTGAATAAGATTTGAAATCTTAGTAGAAGAGGAAATAGAATGAGATTCTGATTTCCTATTTATAGATTGTTGCAGGCTAATGAGCTCAAACCTAGTTTACCTTAACTTATAGGATACCCTAACTCATAGAGTGGGTAGGTCGCAAGGTGATTTTAAGCATAGACCCAATCGGGATTGGGTTGAGGCTTTGGGCCGTGACATGTTTATTTCGTTATTGGGCCTCGCCAAGCCCAAGACGATTTTTGGCCCTAACAGTTAGCCCCCCACTCTCTAAGTTAAAGAGTATTTAGCTTAGAGAGTAGATTTAATCGAATGAGTGCAGACTAAGCGGATTAGTGATAGCAGCTCGTTAGGTCGGATGGATCGTTGTGTGGATTGGGTTGATGACTTGTTGATTTGAGGTGTAAGAACCCTCTTTCAACCAATCTGGTCGACTGAATGTGTAGCTTTGTGGATCAGGTAGGCGATCGAAGGTGTAATCAGTGGATCGACCAGGGTCGATTCGAAGGTGTAAATCCTTGGATCAGGCAGGGTCGATCCGAAGGTATGATCTGTGGATCGAGCAGGGTCAATCTGAAGGTGTTAATCCGTGAATCAGCAAGGTTGATTTGAAGGTGTAAATCTGTGGACGGGCAGGGTCGATCGAAGGTGTATATCCATAGATTGAGTAAGGTCAATCCGAAGGTGTAAATCCGTGGATCGAGTAGGGCCGATCCGAAGGTATAAATCCGTGGATCAGGCAGGGGGATCCGAATGTGTAAATCCGTGGATCGGGCAGGGCCGATCCGATGGTGTAAATCCGTGAATCGGGCAGGGCCGATCTGATGGTGTATGCCAAGTGAGCTTGTAT